TCCCCTCCTCATTTTCCTTCTCTTAAAGCTCTTCAAGTCACCTTTTCTGCTCCTGGTTTGTTATTTTTTAGGCTGTAAAACAGCCCCAGGGCTGTCTCTCCTCACCTCCTCTCCCCTTTCCCTTCCTGAAACAGATTTTAAGCAGGCGGATCCCTCAGAATCCCAGATACCAACACATAAAAACCCGCCTGGACACTGGTGAGTGGAATTGGTGCAGGGGCACAAACCCCACCCCTGGATGTAGGAGGGCACCAAAAGAGGCTCAAGATCTCAACTCCCTCTGTCCTGAGCTGCTTTTACCCCCCCAGCTCTGTCACCACTTGCATCGTGTCTCACCTAATTAATTAATGACAGGAGCTCTGAGCAGCCTGGAATGGTGGGAGGTGTCCCTGCCCATGCAGGGGGTTTGGATCTAAATGATCTTTAAGGTCCCTTCCAACCCAAACCATTCCATGATTCCCATAGAAATGTCTGGTCTTGGACTTTCTGCACATCTAAGTTAGGATCCTGATATGGGTGTAAGTGAAAATAATTAATTAGAGAAGGTTTGGCCTCTTTTTTTTTTATTCAAACAGTTGGATTTTTATCTCTCCAGTAAAACCCACCTGTAGGACCCCCCAAAACCCTGAGGGAAGGGACAGGGTGGCCACAGTTGGGCTTGAAGCAGGATGTTTGGGTCAGGATTTGAATCCCAAGCTCCTGATTTCAGCTCTGGATCAGGCAGAGGTTTGGGGAGGGAGGTAAATGGTGGCACTTGTTGATTCAGGGCTGCCTTGTCATGTCGTGGGGGGAGAAGGAGCTGCTACATTTGATGTTAGAGGCTGATTTTTCTGGCCTTCCAAGATAAAAATAAGTGAGGAAAAGCAATTTAAAAAATGGTAACATCTTCTCATTACAGGAAGCAGTTTCTCAAAATATGCTGAGAAGTTGGAGGAGATCAAAAGAAGTGAGTATCTGGGGAGGAGCAAAAAAATGGGATTGTTTTGGTTGGGAAAGACCTTTAAGATCATCAAGTTCAACTGTCCCCCCAGCCCTGCCAAGGCCCCCACTGCCCCATGTCCCTCAGCACCATCTCCAGGGCTTGGAAACCCCTCCAGGGATGGGGACTCCCCCCCTGCCCTGGGCAGCCTGGGCCAGGCCCTGACAACCCTTGCCAGGCAGGAATTGTTCCCCAGATCCAACCTCAACCTCAGCAGCTGCAGAGCCAGAAGGTCTCCCCTCAGCCTCCTTTGCTCCAGGCTCAACACCCCCAGCTCCCTCAGCTGCTCCTCACAAGTTCTCCAGCCCCTTCTCCTCCTGCTCCAGCCTGTACCTTTGGGTGGCTCAGCTCAAACCTGGAGGAGCATCCAGGAGCTGGGTTGAACCCCAGACCCTCCCTTTGCTCAGGAATCTTCACTCAGCTGATTCCCAGAGGCAGAAACACTCAGCAGGGGGACACAAAAATACTTCTACCCTGGTTCTTTGCTGAGCACCTTCCACCTTGTCCTGCTCCTGATGTCTGTGTCTCTCCCTCTGCTTCACAGATGGGACTGAATCCAGGGCCCTTCCCACATCCTCCTCTCTGTAACTGTGTTTATTGAGCACAAACCAGACAGGAAAATTAAATTCTCTGGACTAAGAAAACTAAACTCACCTTGCAAGACTCAGAGTTCACTGCTGAGACTTTTCTTTTCACTTTTAAAAACGTGGTTGAACTTGATCTTTTGTACCATTTGAGTGCACTTAGATTTTAAAATACTCCAAGACAGGGAAGAGAGAAACTCATTCCTGTGTCATTTTAGCAGAACAACATTGTTTACATGAATAACTCCCATGTCTTCAAGGTTTTTAACTGATCAGGCTTATAAAAGCCTAAATAGTTTTTATTTCAGTCTGTTTGCTCACTGAAAATAGGCTTTTAAAACCAATTCTTCCCATCTGATTTCCAGCTTCCATCAGGATTATTTTCCCACAGAGAGCCAGGAAAAGCTGCTCAAGCTTTTTTTGAAGCTGCTTTTACTGATGGGGAAAGAAAACTCCTCCCCTTTGATGAGGATTAATTAGGATTTTCAGTGTTCTGTTGTAGTTCTTAGACCCACTTGCCCACGTTCCCTCTGGTCAGACCATCAGGGAGGCCCCTGATCTGCTACTTGAATGTATCTTTGTGCTCAACTTGGTGCAAAAATGGTTCTTTGTGGCTGGTTTATTTGTTGTTTTACCACTTTGGGGAAAAATTAGAAGGGAAATGACCTTGATTGCCACCAATCCTGGGTTGACTGAGATTTCAGTGCTTAACACTGAGTCACTTTTATCTCTGCTGAGGATCTTGTTTGATGGGTCTGGGTGGTTTTTTTTCAACCTGATTTCCTTTCAGCTTGGAGTCCTTTTGTTTCCTGGAGCCCAGGAGAAGCTTTTCTCTCATTCTCTTTGAGCTGAATAGCCCCCTTGTGTTCCCAGGCAGTGCAGAAACTTCTCCCCCCTCGATTTCTCATGGGTAGATGACATAGTTTGGACACTGAAATCCCCAGGACAGGAAACTCTCTGTCTCTGCTGTAATGTGAGAGAGTGGGACTTCATCCCACCAGCCCACGGTGGAATCAGAAGTGATAAGAGAGCTGGAACCACCAGGATTTGTCCTTTGGAGGATTGATTTGAGGAGAGACACCAAAGTCTCTTCCCTTCCTCTCTTGTCACCTCACTCATTTCTGAAGCTCTGAGGAGCATCTCCTTGAACACAATCATTCCAGCTTCAGACCAGTTTCCTGAAGCAAAAAAAAACCAAACCCAAACATGTCTGAAAATCCAAATGGATCTTCCAGGACTGAACCAGGTACCTCCTGTTGCTTCTGTGGATGGAAAATGAACTTGCTGGTAACTTCTGGGGGGTGGTTGGTGCAGGTATTCAGCTTGTTCTGCTCCAGGTTGGGCTTTGCAGTCACAGGTTGGGTTTTTCTTGTGGAGAGAAATAATTTTGGGGTGGTAAAGGGAAGATCTAGGTCCTAAGAGCTTGTTCTGGGAGAAATAATCCTTGCTTGAGGTGAGAGGAAACCAGGCAGGAGCTGTTCTGGCTGAGCACTGCTCTGCTTTGTCAGTGCTTAGGGACATCCAGCACTTCAGAAACTTGGCTGCTTGTATTTTTCTTTCTGAATTGAGTTTATTTCTTGCTCCTCAGGTGACTGAAGGGCTCTTTTGGTCCGTGGCTGGGGAGTTGTAATCACTTGGACATGAGCTACACGTGGGGTTTGTGTCAGGCAGATGGAACGCGCTGCACCAAAGGGAGTTATTGCTGTTGTTTCCAAGTGGCAAAGGGAGGTTTTTAACAACCTGAGCATGAACCCAGGTGCTTCTGCAAGAACCACCAGGGTCATTCCCAAGTTCACTGACCTTTTGATGCAAAGGTCTTGCCCTTCAGACCCAGAGTTTGAGGATGCACCAGGGGGTTTGGGGTGGGCTCCTTCTTTCTACAACCAGTTGTTGAGTAGTTTCTTTGCAGCTTAATAACCATTGTAGGGGGTGAGATGTTTGGTTTGGGAACCTGCTTGCTCTGAATGCTGGAAATTAACTGACCTGCCTCTGCAGGGAAAGGATTTAAGAGGAAAGGGTAGGAATAAGAAAGAAGCTAGAGGTGAAAGCTCATCATTTCTCTTCCTGGGTCTGTTCTGTCACCATAACATGCCCAGTGGTTGTGGACAGGGGAGAGTCTTCTCCAGAATGACTGTTGGGAAGGCTGTGATCAATGATTGAATTGGGAAGAGGTTTCAACCTCTGGAATTGGTGTGGATCCTTCTCTAAACCCACATCAGCTTGAGAGTTCCCAGTTTGAGGTCATTTTGGACGTGGCACAGGAGCCCTTCCCCCTTCTCCCTCATCTTCCCCTGCTCAAGCTAATGGAGCACCCAGCAGATGGTTTGAGAGGATTTAGAATGGTTTAAGTGGCTGGATTTGCAGAAAATCCTGTTCTGGGCTGTTAGCCCTGAGCAGTTGGAGAAGGACAGGCTTGGAACACCCTCCAAGAGCCACTCAGAATGGCAGAACAATGCAAAATATTCCCCTTTCTTCATAAAAAAACGAGTCACTTGGGAGGTGGAGCCTCCTCAGGGAGGAGGAGGAAGAGAAAGGAGGAGCAGTTTAATTTTTCTGGGAGAGCTGAGAGACCTGAGTGTGGCTCCAAGACCTTGGTTCCAGCTGCAGTGCCTGACACAGGAGGAATTTTCTTCACCTTTTTGCCTTTTCCTGCCAGTGCAGGGTTGGTTTTTATCCCCCCCCCTTCCTCTTCTGTCTCCTTTCTAGCTGTGAATTTCCCCAAGGATCAGGCTTCCATTGCATCCCAGGGGAGGCTCTTTCATGTCAAGATGTTCCTACTGATACTCAGCTTTATTCTCCCACCAACACCCCCCCTTTTTTTCTTGTTCCAGGCTGGAAATATTTCCCTTGAATACCTGTTTGCTCTCAGCCTTCCAGCCTTGTCATCACTTCTTTAGACTGTTAATCCCTGCCCTGGCTCTTTGCCACTCACCCCACCAGGCCACTCAGCTTCCTTCCTACCTAAGCTCTGGCCTCAAGGCTTCAGATTCAATTAATCCCATTTCTCTCTAGCCATCATCTGCTTCAGGTTGGTGTCCACACCAACCTGCTCTGTTTTCTGCCCTCAGCAACTTCTGTCACTCATCCATTCCTGGAGATGTTGTAGGAATCAGACTTGAATGGTCAGATGAAGTGAGAAAACCTGGAGCACTTGAAATCAGCAGAAATCTGTTTGAAATATGTATTTAATTATCATTATCTTTCATTTTCTTTTTAATTGAATTCTAATGTAATTAAATATTTAATCAGTACAAATGTACAGGTTTAGCTGAGCATTTGGAAAGGCAGTTGGAGATGTTGTTCCCCTGAGCTCTGCTTCTGCTGGGACTTACACAGATTAAAATGCAAGTAAATTAAATCATTAAATCCTGGAATGCCAGGTTGGAAGGGACCTCAAGGACCATCTGGTCCAACCTCTCTAGGTACTACTCTAGTTGATAGGAGGTGGCTCAGCACCCTGTCCAGCTGAGACTTCAAACTGTCCCATGTGGGGGAATCCACCACTTCCCTTGGGAGACTGTTCCAATGTTGGACTGTCCTCATGGGGAAACATTTCCCTCTTGTGTCCAATGGGAATCTCCCCAGGAGCAACTTGTGCCCATCACCCCTTGTCTTTTGCACCTGACTCCTTGTCAATAGGAGTCTCCATCTTCTTGGCATCCCCCCTTGAAGTACTGGAACATGGTGATAAGGTCTCCCCTGAGCCTTCTCCTCTCAAGGCTGAACAAAAATCTTTTGGTTTAATTAGCTTTGAGACCATCAAACCATAGAATAGTTTGGGTTGGAAGAGACCTAAAAGATCATCTAGTTCCAACCCCCCAGCATGGGCAGGGACACCTCCCACCATTCCAGGCTGCTCCAAGCCCCATCCAACCTGCCCTTCAACACTGCCAGGGATGGGGCAGCCACAGCTTCTCTGGGCAACCTGGGCCAGGGTCTCCCCACCCTCACAGCCCAGAATTTCTCCCTCCCATCTCAGCTCCAGCTCCCTCTGCCAGCTGGAAACCCTTCCCCCTGCTCCCATCCCTCCCTGCCCTTGTCCCAAGTCCCTCCCCAGCTTTCCTGGAGCCCCTTCAGGCACTGGTGGGTTCCAAAGAAAGTCAGACAAGCTGATAAATTAATGAAACAGCTTCTTCCCCCAGCAAGGACAGAAAACACCAAATAAAACCACATTTGACTCTAAAAAGCAACTCAATCTGCATTCTTGAATCCCACCTGGCCAAGATCTCCCCTTATCACTGCAATGACTTGTCACAAAGTCTTCAGGTTTGCTGCTCCATGTCCATGCCTGGTTGGAGGAAAGAGCCCATGAAAACCCCTGGGGTGATTCCCTGCTATTTCCAACAGTTCATTTGCAACTCACTGAACATTGACCTTATTCCCTTCTGGGTTTGTTGTTGTTTTTTCAAGATTACAGATACAGGAAGGACGAGCTCTTCAAAAGGCTGAAGGTGACAACGTTTGCCCAGTTGGTAGGTGCAGGTTCCTCTCTGCCCTCTGAAAGTTGGGTTGTTTGGGGTTGTTTTCTTATTTGAATACCTTTTATAAACGTTGCTTTCTCTGGAGCCAAATCCCCTTCAGTGTGTCCTTCTGGATTCTCTTTTTCCTGCCCTAAATCCAGCCTGTGTTCTCAGAGGGATCCAACACTTTGGGTTTTGCTCTGGAGAAGAAACTAATTTTAAAAAAACCAAACAAACACCACAAATCACTCAAAAAAAGAGAAACCAATTTTCAAACTGAAGTTTGTGGTGACTCTGATTTTTTTTTTTTTTGAAATTGGGTCACTCTTTGTTGGTTTCCTTTTGTTTAAGGGGATCTTCAAGCCCCTGACAGAAGAAAAAGGCTGTTGGAAGGGGCTGTTGGGGTCTGATCTCACCCAGCTGGGGGACAAGTTGCCTGAAACTTCCCCTAATTTAGGGACTAAGGGGCAGAAGTGGTGACTTCCAGGCTTTCTCTGCATCTCTTGATCTTTTTAATGAAGAAGCTGATCAGGAAAGGGATTGCTGTGTGTTTGCTGAGGGGCTGGCTCAAGAACAGGAGTGAACAGGAGATGCCAAACCTGCTGCTGAGGAGGGGAGGAAAGGGCAGGTTGGACTTGGAGGCACAGAAGGAGTTGGGTGCCTGGGTTCCCCTGGGTTGTTAAGACCAATCCTGTGACTCTTGCTGCTTGAATCACAGAATCATTTGGGCTGGGAAAGACCTTGAAGATCCTCAAGTCCAACCCTTAACCCAGCCCTGCCAAGGCCACCCCTGCCCCGTGTCCCTCAGCACCATCTCCAGGGCTTGGAAACCCCTCCAGGGATGGGGACTCCCCCCCTGCCCTGGGGTTGCCAGGCCCTGACAACCCTTGCCAGGCAGGAATTGTTCCCCAGATCCAACCTCAACCTCCCCTGGTGCTTTGAGTTAAACAGGTTTGGCTTGAGGGTGGTCTTCCCTCCAGCTGGTCCCTGCTGGGTCCCCCTGACGCCGCGTGTGTCTCCAGGTATCTTTGCTTTTGTCTCCTGCAGGTCATCCAGGTGGCCTCTCTATCTGATGAAACCTTAGAAGTGACAAATGAGAAGCTCCACAAGCTGGAAGGTAACCACCTTGTGTTGTAAAGCACAAAGAGGGAGCTGTGGGTGGTTGTCCTGTGACCACCTGGGTCCTGACAGACGTCGCTGGCTGATCCCAAAGGCTTTGATTCAGGAGGGAAAAATAACTTGCCCTGTGACCTGAAGCCACTGATGTTTGGGAACAAAAACACTGCAAGGCCAGAAAGGCTCAGAGCCATGGAGTCATGGAATGGGTTGGGTTGGGAAAGACCTTTAAGATCATCAAGTCCAACCCTTAACCCAGCCCTGCCCAGTCCCCACTGCCCCATGTCCCTCAGCACCATCTCCAGGGCTTGGAAACCCCTCCAGGGATGGGGACTCCCCTCCTGCCCTGGGCAGCCTGGGCCAGGCCCTGACAACCCTTGCCAGGCAGGAATTGTTCCCCAGATCCAACCTCAACCTCCCCTGGCACAACTTGAGGCCGTTCCCTCTTGTCCTGTCCCTTGTTCCTGGGGAGCAGAGCCCGACCCCCCTGGCTCCAACCTCCTCTCAGCAGCTGCAGAGCCAGAAGGTCTCCCCTCAGCCTCCTTTGCTCCAGGCTCAACACCCCCAGCTCCCTCAGCTGCTCCTCACAAGTTCTCCAGCCCCTTCTCCTTCTGCTCCAGCCCCTTCCCCAGCTCCGGGGCCCTTCCCTGGACACGCTCCAGCCCCTCCAGGTCCTTCTTGTCCTGAGGGGCCCAGCCCTGACCCCAGGATTCCAGGTGTCCCCTCCCCAGGGCCCAGCACAGGGGGACAATCCCTGCCCTGCTCCTGCTGCCCACCCCAGTGCTGACACCAGCCAGGATGCTGGTGGCCTCTTTGGCTACCTGGGCACTCTCTGGCTCATCTCCATCCCCTGGTGACCAAACCCCCAGGTCCTTTTCCACTGGGCACTTTCCAGCTGCTCTGCCCCAAGCCTGGGGTGTTGGGGGGGTTGCTGTGACCCAAGGGCAGGACCCAACACTGGGCTGGTTGAACCTCATACAATTGGTCTCAGCCCCTGGATCCAGCCTGTCCAGGTCCCTCACCCCATGGATCCAGCCTGTCCAGATCCCTCATCCCATGGATCCAGCCTGTCCAGATCCCTCTGCAGAGCCTCACCCCATGGATCCAGCCTGTCCAGGTCCCTCTAGATCCTCTCACTGCTTTCCCAAGGCTTCCCTGAAGTCCAGGCTGACAACACCCACACCCTTGCAAACAGGAGGAGCCTCCCCCTGCCAAGCTTCTCTCATACATCAAGAGCTCCACGTTGATTGAATTCTTACAATGAGATGTTGAGCCTTTAAAAATCCTCTGCCTCTTGACTTGTGTGTATTTGGAGGCTCTGGGGAAGTAACCCTGGTAAGAGGATGAGGATAAGACTGTCTGGAAGACCTAAACTTGCATCTAGGAATAGAAACTGGCCTCAAAACCTGCTGGTTTGTTGTTTCCTGCAGTGTTTTAACTCTTGGTGCCCTGTTCTCTTCCCCAGCTGGTGATTCTGCTCCTCCAGGTGGTGATTCTTCTCCTCCAGGTGATGATTCTGCTCCTCCAGATGCTGAACCCGGGGCAGGGATGAATGGGAAAGGAAACTCTGAGGAGCCATCAAGTCCAATCCTCTTCATAAACAACACAGGAGATGGGGAATCCAGTCGGTCCACCCTGCAGAGGTGGGTGGGAACATCACCCCCTTTCATTCCTCTCTTAGCAGATCATTTGGTTCAGCCAATTAGTCACTTCATTTCCTGCCAGGTGGCTTTGGATTGTGTTCCTCCTGGAAGCCTGTGTTGCAGCTCCAGGGATGGGAGGGAGGTTTTCCTGTCTGGGTGAGGTTGGTTTGGGGCTCTAACCCAAGGCTGATGGTTGGTCTGGATGGTTGGTCAAGGAGCTGATGTTTGTGGGATTGGATCCAGGTCCTTGGGTTGAAGAATCCACCTCCTAAACTTGGTGATGCCTCCCTGGTGATTTTAATGGATTGTCCCAGGATGGAGAGGAACAGTCTGATTTCCAGATGAATTAAAGAGGTAGTCAAGGTTGGAGGTACCAGGAGGACACTGCAGGAGGAAGTTTGTCCCAGCCCTCCCCTTGCTGTACTTGTACAAGCATTAACAGAAGAGCTGAGACACTAACCTGGTGGACTTGGCCATCATGTACCAGAGCCTTGGATTCAGTGGCCACCAAGAGTATCTGGAGGTTTCTCTTCATGTCCTGTGTCCCACCTGGTGATGAGATGGGAAACCTCTGCAGGGTACTGCTTGTAGATCATGGAATCCCAGACTGGTTTGGGTGTGAAGGGACCTTAAAGATCATCCAGTTCCAACCCCCCTGCATGGGCAGGGACACCTCCCACCATTCCAGGCTGCTCCAAGCCCCATCCAACCTGCCCTTCAACACTGCCAGGGATGGGGCAGCCACAGCTTCTCTGGGCAACCTGGGCCAGGGGCTCCCCACCCTTACACCCTTATGAAGAATTTCTTCCTCATGTCCAACCTAAATCTCCCCTCTTCCAATTTTAATCCATCCCCCCTTGTCCTCTCAGCACAAGTCCTTGTCCCAAGCCCCTCCCCAGCTTTTCTGGAGCCCCTTCAGGCACTGGAAGCTGCTCTAAGGTCTCCCTGGAGCCTTCTCTTCTCCAGGCTCAACACCCCAACTCTCCCAGCCTGGCTCCAGAGCAGAGCTGCTCCAGCCCTCCCAGCATCTCTGTGGCCTCCTCTGGCCTCTCTCCAGCAGCTCCATGTCCTGTCCCAGTTATTTACTGTGTCTGACTTGCCAACATCTCCACGTTGGCAGCTCCTTAGAATGATTCTCCCTCACCTCAAAGTCACTCAGGCCATAAAACACCTGGGCTTGACTGATCCAGAAGTTGCCCCCTTCCCCTGGCAAGGCTGTGCTCTGTTTATATTTTATGTGGACAAAAATACAAACCAATCTCCTGGGATGTGCTGGGAAACCTGGTCCAGACTCTCTCCATCTGATGTGGGGTTTGGCTCTGGGAGCAGTTGATGGAGAAGCACTTGGACCTGGCGAAGAGGGATGGACGTGCTCACCACGAGAGGTTGCTCCATGGCCTCCTCTTTCCTCTTGCAGTTTGATAAGTGGAGTTGGTGAGCTGGACATGGAAAAGGACACCCCCAAGAGGGTGGACCCTCGGGTTCAGGACATGCCCTACCCTGACTGTCCCTTCCTGCTGCTGGACGTACGAGACCGAGATGCCTACGACCAGTGTCACATTGTTGGAGGTGAGGAGGCCAGAACCCCACAGCAGATCAGTCCCAGCTGGCATCTGCAGCTCTTTGTGTCCTTTTTTTAGTTTGTTTTTCATGTGGCTTCATTTTTTTTTCACCTGTGATGGGACATCACTTGGGTGGCAGGATGTTCTTGGCACTCATTGGAGAGTCGTGGGATGGTTTGGGGTGGAAGGGACATTAAAGATCATCCAGTTCCAAACCCCCTGCATGGGCAGGGACACCTCCCACCATTCCAGGCTGCTCCAAGCCCCATCCAACCTGCCCTTCAACACTGCCAGGGATGGGGCA